AGCAGGAATGTTGCATCCAAGACCAACTTGCGGTGGATAACAACTAGAGAGTGAAACTCGCGCTGACGAACGCAGCATAAGTCCGTGGCCATTTTGTGTCCACTCATTTTATTGAAACGTCATACTTTCTGTGACAACAAAATGGCGGACGAATCCGAATGCCGGGCTGGCAAATTATTTTCAAAACCAAATTTGAACTATTTTGCCGTAAGTTAATATTTAACATTTTCCTGTTGTAGAGTATAATTTTGTGTGTACTGCTTAATATGAGACTGTTTTATTTATGATTTCTCTGTATGTTTTGATGCATTACATTTGTCTAGAACTGACATGAAGGCTTTTACATATTGCTTTTTATTTACACTTATTTTCCCATACGTCCGTCTGTGTCAGAGAGCGGACATGTCAATAGAGCACACCAGATAGGGCTTACAGGATTATAGAGAATGACCTATGTGGCTTTAACATGAATGAGAGGAGAGGTGAAAGTAGGCTACAGCTATGACCGCTGCTCCCAACTACAGCGTGACCATGAAAACAGCAGAACCACACTGACTGGAGGCGTCCGAATGTTGGTCAAAAAGTAATAAATAAAGATGTTTTTGTTTTTTTTGTGAACTTAATAAACCTCATTAAAGCAAATAAATAATTATCTTAATATTCCAGTCTCACTTTTTCTCTGTGAAGTAACCTCAGTTACACTCAGTTTTTATGTTGCTACTGAATAAAAATGTAATGGTAAGCAATGTGTTTAACTAGTAACGCTTAACTTTAATTTCTCACTTTTGTTTTCAGTCATTGAAGCTGTTTTGTTTTCTTCCCACATTGTGACACTGAATGTGTTTCACTAGCTTTCACTCATCACTGTTAACATCTGTAATACTCTAAATAACACTTGCTGCTGGTTACTGTAACCTTTGAAAATTTGTCTTAGAAATGTCTTAAATATATGACATTGTGAAAAAAACAATAAACAATAAGCTTTCCAGTTTCTTACATCTTTTCCTTTTGATTATGTCGGAGATAATTATTATTTATAGATTGTTTTTTTTACATCATACCAACTTATTTCAACTTTTACCTCAGTATAGCAATATAAATCCATATGCTATTATAAAAAATAAAGGTTCATATAAGGAGACATTAGATATGTGCGTCTGTGTGTGTGTGTGTCTGTATTTGTGTGTGTGTGTGTTGTTGTGTTGTGTGGTGTGTGTGTGTGGGTGTGTGGTTGAGTAATGCACTTATCTGTATTTGTGGTATTGATGTTTTTTGTACTCAGTTTAGTTTATGAGTGTAGGAGGCACATCATGATGCATAATTCACTTTTCAACATTGTGCAATTTCAGTTAACCATCAGTAAACAGTTTTTCCACCTTGATTTGAGTTTTTTTTGTGTTGTCATGGACTCGAAGTTGGACATAATTCAAGATGTCAAATGTTTTATAGCAATCTTGGAAGTGTAATCTTAGCATTATAGTTATTATTTTACATTTTTATAATACAACAACAATAATTTATTTGCTTGACTATTAATTGATATATGCATCTTTACTATTCTTACACCAAGAACCACAATGGAAATATTATATTATATATTATA